CCACCTCAGAAAGCTGCTAGTCACATGACCTAATCAAAATGGCCGACTTGGACATGGGAGGAGTTGGATCTCCAACCGAGTCTCCTACAGACCACACAATACAGACAGAGAACCACAATGATAGGTTCAGGCTCTACAACTTTTATAAATTCATCTTCACCATTACTTATATTTTGTCCATTTTCTGTTCATTTTTATCAGGATTGCGCATTGATCTGTGTCAAAATTAAATAATTAAACAGACAATAGCTGCTCGACACACCATAAAACTGTACAATCATCAGAAATCTGTAACTATCTGATTAACTTAACACTTTTATTAGCAGGTATCCCACCTCTGAAAAATAGGAGGTTTATAATAATAATAGAATGAGAGGTTTGTATCGAGGGTTGAATTCTCTGTGTCCTCATTATTGTTTTATTATTCTTGAAAGCACATTAGAACAAAATGGAGGATCCCTGTTAATCCGGGCACCATTAAGGAAGGACTGTCTCATTTGGGGGGCATGAACGGACATAACTTAAAGCTAATGAGAGAGGACTTTTATTTGCTCATGATCAGGACACAAATTTGCCCTTTCAGTGCCTCATGAATTAGAAGTTTGAGAATATTTTCTATTCCAATCAGAGAACCCTGTCCCTTTTATCACAGGAATCATTTAACTTTTTGCAAACTAGAATTGATTCTTCTTTTTTTTCTCTTTGATCATATATGGCCTGATAGAGAAGGCCCAACGGTTAGAAAAAATAGAAAAAACTAACATTTAACAGAACAAAAGTAATTGAAAATGCTATAGAAAAAACTAACATTTAACGGAACAAAAGTAATTGAAAATGCTATAGAAAAAACTAACATTTAACAGAACAAAAGTAATTGGAAATGCTATAGAAAAAACGAACATTTAACAGAGCAAAAGTAATTGAAAATGCTAAGCTAATACAAGGAGAGGTCTGAATATTAACCTCTTTCGCTGGAGGCAAATAGACGAATCCTCCCCTTCGTCCAGGTGATGGATTTATTTTGTTCTCAGTCTGATTGAGCCACATCTGTTACCCGTGAGCCTCGGTATTAATGAC